TTGTCTGTCCCCATAAACACTTGGATTCACCTGCAATATTGTAGATTTTAACTCATCAAAGATCTGTAATCCTGTCAGGCTAGAGAAATGGAATTAAGACAGGAATTTGACAAAATCTTGGAAGGATAAAAGCTGCATGGTGACGAGACATTTTGCTTGTTGATACTGACCGCCCATCCTGATTCTATGGCTTCATACTGGTTGTAAGGGCCGCTTTTGAGAGCAACCTGAGAAGTAGTGTACTCGTCATCCAGTTCCACAGAAGGATAACAGACCTTAATATCTCCTTTGGCTCCAAAATATGCATATCCCTCAGTGTGCAGTATTGCCAACTATTTTGATGTCAAAAAATCAGATTGTCATTCATGCATAATGGTTGTTTGATTCAGTACTGAAGCCATTTACATTTAAATTTTAATCAACATGCAGCAAATTTAGTTCATATAAGTATGCAGTATGCCCTTGTCATCAGATAAATAGCCTGCATACCGAGTGGTTTGCTCGTAGAAGGTTCATACTTTTGTCGTCCTTAAACTGGTAAGGGGAGATAGTCGGTTTTTTTCTTGCATGATCATCGACTGTAGTTACTTTGCTTTTGTTTTTCCTTGGCACCCTCCTGATGGGAATTGTCCCTTCGGGGCAGCTTCCACTTTTATGCCATATCTGTGCTGTAGTGGTAATATACAAGTCTTTGTTTCCTTTATGATCAGATGCTTCCCAGGTTTCCTTTTCATTTTTTGTCACCATTATTGGATCATAGGTTGGTCTCATCTGGAAGTGGAAATTGCTCTAGATTGATCAGAAGTAATGTGTAAAAAGGAGTTTCATAAGACTCATGAATCACAGTGTCGAGACTAATTAATTTGACATGCGAAAACAGACCTCGATTTTGTGATTTCTCAACGCAGGATGATTAAAAGCAGGTTGGTTGTGAATGCCAATGCAATCAATTACATCCCCATCTTCACTCTGGAAAATAATGAATGAAGAGTACTGAATTGAGCAATTCTGTATTCTTTATCATGTAGAACTCTTGTGAAACATTTGCAAGAAATCGCTTCTTTTCATTAATTAAAAATTTTTTAGTAAAGAAGAAAAAGCGAAGACTATATGAAGCTTTACCTGAATGCTTTTCACTGCAAACTTGGGACCAAAATTCTGTTTCGAGCTGGAGCCATTCCTTGGGACCCCTCTGCTTATTGCTACCAAAGTGACTTGCAGCATTAGGATAGACATCAACTTGATCCCCATTACCAGTGAACAGAAAGCTAAAGGAGTTTCAGATTTTGAGAAAATGAAGAAAGAATTTTTTCCTTAATATTTATCTTCACCTGAATTAGTATTCTCACAAATTTCTCAGATCTATTCAAGAAGTTGACAAATGTGATTCATGGTACTTAAAAGAAGCCATGACATTGATGAATGCATGACTTACCTTCTTGATCATTTGGTTTTCATTTTACTTTGCGCATTATTCTCCATAACAGCTTGCTAAAAGGCCTGCTGGAAATTAAGATTTCAATTTGTAACTTTCGGCACTGTAAATGAATAGGGTAACTTATACTCCTCTCTTTTAATTTTCACTTTCAAGCACGCTTATAAATTCTTCACTAAATTTTTTGAATTTCTAGTATTGTAACCAAAGCTCCCTGCATTACAAATGAGTGAATATGCATATCTATTGACAGGAAACAAAATAGAAGGGCAAATTTGCAAGACGAATATGTTAAAAATACTAACCTTCCAAGTCATGTTCGTGAAGAACAACTCGGGTAGCCTGTGTGGTGTGTTGCTCCTCTTTAAGATATAGCCACCAAAGATTGAGTTCCGGGATTAACGTGTTCGAGAGAAATGGGCCTCTCCTCTCGGGCCGTAAGGGATTAGTCCCGAATACCCCTGTGTCGGAAAAAAAAAATTCAGGTTCGTGAAGGCCGTCTGATGGAACTTTGGTAGTTACCATCCTCTGTCGAAATTACTAGACAACAAATTCAAGACTGAGATCGGTAGTTGATTAGAAACTTATCAACCAGGGGAAAAAACATGCATGAACAGATTAGACAACATTAGTTAAAGAGAGATAAGAGATCATTAACAGGTAAGATTGTTCCTTTTGATTGTCCTGACCTATATTACCATCTTTAACCGTTGTCTTTACCTAAATTACAAGAGAGTTCCAAACTCTACGATCATTTTCGAGGTTATAAACTTCTGGGATTTTAATAAAGAAGGCATGGGGAGAAGAACTTAAAATAGTATTAAGTAGTGCATCCAATTCATTGATCTTTTTTTTTTTGCTAGGTTTAATTAGCACCTGAGCTTTTTAAGAATTCAATAGTTTAGAAGCAATTTAACAAATGGATATTCTTTTTCTTTTTTTTTTAACACATGCAACAATGGATGTATTCCATTGTATGTCTTAGAAACATTAGGGGTTTGTTTGGATTGTAAGTTAGTTGAGATATTTTTACTGTAGCATTTTTTGTAATGTGATGTATGTGCGATGAAAAGGTAATTGGGAAGGTAAAAAGGCGTATTGGAAATTGTAAAAATAATGTAAACAAATATATTTGGGGAAATACAGCCCAATCCAAACAATAGGTATTTTGGTTTGGAAACTTTTTCTCCTACACGCTTGTTTCCATTCGACTATGAAGATACAGATTTTTCCGATTACCCAATGAACTTGGAACATGACCATATAAATAGTTCCATTTGAACTTTTCCTAGCAACTGATTGTTGGATGAAAGTAAATTAACAATTTCACATGGCATAATTTTTCAGGAAAACTACGTTGACGGTTCATAAAATAAGTTTCTAGTTTCTACAGCAATAGTAATTGATGTTGCATTCCCTTGCTTAACAAAAACAAGAATCTAGGGTAAATTACTAATGACCGCCTGATTTCATACATTACTGCATGAACCCCTAACATTTCAAATATCTATATAATCCTCTATGATTTTATGTAAAGTAGATATTTAACAAAAAGTAACCTACATAATGTGGTGACTTAAAATGCCAATATTATCCGTACTTAAACACTAAACAAAATGAGAACCTAACTACTTTGCATAAAACTATAGAAGGATTATGTGATATGCACAAAATCATAGGGGATTATGCAAAATCATAAAGGGTTATGGATGTTATAATTTTACCATGTGCATATCCATAGCTTTGTCTAGATCAATCACAGTAAACTGATGTGCTCTTTGCCCATTTTTTCAATTTACATACAATCATAAGCAAGTTCATGTATATATGCAAGTTAAAAAAGAAGTGTACGTGATTTTCGCGCATTTTCAATTTACGTACAATTATAAGGAAGGTTATGTGAATATTTAAGTTAAAAATGAAGTGTGATGATATACAAAATTATAAGGGTTATTACTAATTTACTCTAAGAATCTACCACTACTATCCATCCATTCAGTAATAATAACTTAAAATGGATCATCATATTAACTATATATGTAGGATGTTATTGGACCTTCCCTAGCTCTATGGATCCTCATATGTGTATGCTGCTTGATATGCATCACCACTGCCAACTGATTTGACAATTCAATTAAAATAAATCATTAGACAGATGCTGATCAATTGTTATGTGTAGTATACTATATGAAGTTAAAACGAATTCATTTTATTCATATACACATTCTTGGTGCATTTCTCACTAGCTATTACTAGAGTTAAAACTTGCGTTACCAGGCAGTTCTTCTCAAGAAGTTTGATTGCTGTGTCATTGGTGCACTGCTCACTCTGATTGAAGAACCGAGGCTTCATATGCACTGTACGTATATTGGCATCCACCGAATGGGAACCGTCCCCTTGGGACAACTTCCGCTTCTCTGCTACAGTTGTGTTGTCTCAGCCATGGAAATGTCATTTTTTCCTTGTTCAGGCGTTTTAGTTGTATTTGCTACTGGGGTTATGGCCTTTGTTGGTGCAAAGCTAGGTTTCATCTGAATAGGAGAAATGGCATAATTAGTTGGCTGACATATATAAACATTTCACAAGTTTCATAAATCGAGACTTCCTAGAACAAACAAGATATACTAGACAAACCTGGATCTTGTGATTCTTCAGAGCGGGATGATTGAAAGCTGGCTTCTTGTAGATGTCGATGCAATCAATTATATCGCAATATTCACTCTGAAACAGAAAAGATGAAAGTGGCGTTGTATGTGAATAAATCAGTATAATCCACAGTACTTTTTCTTTTAACTTCATTTTGGGATGGCCACAAATTTAACAAAAAAACAATTTGGCACGGAAAATCTACCGGACATTCATTTTTCTCTTCTTAGACATTTTAGCTTGGGCTTGATTTCTTTTTCCATGGCTTCCAAATACAAGAAATGTAATTCACTATGGTCACGATTATGAAGAAACAATCGATGGGTGTTATTAATGTGGATCATGAAGATGGTTCAAGGTAAAATTTGTTTTACTTCTATAAATGATTGGGTCAAGATTTTAAGTAGGTGAATTAGAACAAATAGGATGAAGAAATACCTCAATACTTTTCACTACACCATTAACTTTGAGATTACGATCGCTAGCAACTTCCAGGGGTTTCTGGCTAGAAAGGGAATGACTATCTTGAACTCCATGAGCCATAATGGCCAGAGAAATTTCCAGTAGCAGGAAAGCTAGAGCTTTGATCCCCATGTTCATCGAAAGAGAGAGCACAAGAAAAAAAATTTGTTTTCGAAATATTTTTTAGTTGCTGATGCAGAAAGGTAGCAGGGTTGCTCCCTAGATTTATGTGAGCCTAGCTAGCTGAGACTTTCAGTTCGAGTTCTGAAGGATTGTTGAAATATAGTAGTGGATCGCTTCTTGAATCGTTATCAGCAACAGTTTTCCTTAGCATGAGAACTGGTCATTTGATTTTCTTTTAAAATATGTTTATATAGGTATACTAAAATTTGTTCTCTTGCACAATAAATTCAATTACTCTGCAGCATGTTCATGAAGACATGTATTTCTGATGCGTCTAAGGGCACTTCCAATTTCTTCCAGGTCCTCCATAATAGAACTCAGGATCCAGGCGCCCCTTAAAAAGCTGGTAACTATAACAATCATACTCATCCGAGAAGGATGCTGTGAATTCTGGGTACTTCAACGCCAGGGAATTATCAAGAACCCGAATTCTCTTTATTACTCCCACGTCGTAGTGTGGGTAACCATATTCCCCACTTCCCATTTGTGTTGCGGTGTGTGGACGAGTCCCAAACGTCTCAAGATTGGCGCTGTATACTTCACCACCCCATTGAACAGTTTGAGCATAATGATTTAACGAAGTAAAGAGTTCAGCAGGCCAATATCCTACATTAGTTTTCTCTCCATAATTTATCCACCAGTTGTTTGTTTTTAGATCCTGGAACACGGCAAAAAACATTAGCACAGAGTGACATTTTGCGATATTGTATATGAATGCATCATTGGTAATGTATGTATATCATGCAGTAGGATCTAGTGTAACATTGAAAACAATCAACAGATGCTCAATTTTTTCACCTTAAAAATGTAGACAATCATGGGGACTGCCAGTTGACCACGGGTCGAGTTGGGAAGGAGTGCAGCACCAAGTGCTATCTCCTTGTTGACTTGTACGAAACCAGGACAAAATTGATCAAAGCATCCAGTTTCTCTTGAAGAATCATCCTGTTCCGTGGAAAATATGCACATGAAATTGGTATTGGTAAATATATTTCAAGATAAAAAATCCACTGTCAAAAACAAGAATAAAGAAAAAACTCACTGTCCAATACACAAAAAATCTTGTCTGCCTGTCCTTATAGAGCCCTGGATTAACCTGCAATATTTTCTTCTATTTGTTATTAAAGTAAAGTGAACCAAGTAAAAGAATGAATTTAATACCTGAAATGCCAACATACTGCTAAAGTGTGTGGGTCAGCAACTCAAATCAATTTTCTCATTGTTTCTTTTTGTAGAAAATTAACCGACCCACGTAAAGAATGGTAATCACACAAAATCTTGAAGAAATGTGGAACTGCTGATTGTTTTAATCGATACTGACCGCCCATCCTGCTTCAACTGCTTCAAAATTGTTGTGAGAGCCACTTTTGAGAGCAACTTGAGAAGTACTGAACTCATCATCCAATTCAACTCGAGGATTCCAGACATAAATATCTCCCTTGGCCCCAAGATATGCAAATCCCTCAGAATGCAACACTGTCAACTTTTTCACAAGGTAAAATAATTAGGGAATTCCTGATTAAAACTGCTGTTTATATTAGTAGAGGCATCTATTCATCCATAATATAGTTAGCAGTTAGTTGAAAGAATATGAATTTGATAAATATCTTTGCACTTGAGTATTAATCTTTATATTTCCCACAAGCTATTAATCATCGAATATATACCGAGTGGTTCGCCAGGAGAAGTTTACTTGGCGTGCTGATGTTGAATTTTTTGCTATGCTGGAAGAAGCTAGGCTTCCTTGCTTCATATGGGCTCTTCTTCTGCATTCTCCTAATCGGAACCGTCCCCTCAGGACAGCTTCCACTTCTGTGCCACAGTTGTGTTGCCAAAGCAATGGGAACCTCTCCTTTTCTTTGTTTAGGTGTTTTAGCTGTATTTGCTTTATAGGAAGTTATGTCCTTTGTTGGAACATAACTTGGCTTCATCTGGATGAAAAAAAATCGTACCATAAATATAATTTTCAGAACCAATAAACTGAGTACCCAAACCTGGATCTTGTCAAATTTTAGAGCAGGATGATATTCATTCTCCAATCAGGATTTTTTCTTGAACCAAAGAAATTAAGAGCACAAACCTGGATCTTGTGATTTTTTAGAGCAGGATGGTTAAAAGCTGGCTGCTTATGGATGTCGATGCAATCAATAATATCACCATCTTCACTCTGGAAAATAACAGAAGAAAAAGTGAAGACAAGTGTAAATGCAATCCATGGCAGAAATTTATTTGAGTTGCACCTTGGGGTAGCAGGCATTCATTTATTCATTCCTAGACAATGGAGCTTGGGCGTTTTACTTTTTCCGGGATTCCCAGAGTAAAAGAATGCGTTATAATATTGATTGGCATTAGCATGTAGTTTAGAATTGAATTGATGAAGCCTTTTCTCAGACAAGTACTGAACTTTTTCGCATAAATAGTCAAATGACAGGGCCAAAATGGTGAATCAGAAGAGGACATGAAGAATTTACCCGAATGCTTTTAACTGCATTGGTGTTGCGGTGATTATTACTGCTTGCAGCTTCCTGGGAGTTCGGCCTGGAAAGGAGGCCATTTGCCAAAGCTTCATGGCTTATTATTGCTACAGTCACTTCTATTAACAAAATGGTCATCAGTTTGATCTCCATGATTATTGGAAGAAAGGGCAAAAGGGAAGAGCTCCAGATTTTCAGAAGGAAGTTGGCTCAGTCTCAATAATTTATAGGACCCTGGCCGAGGCTTGATGAGTCCTGACTCCTGAGAAATGATTGAATTCTAGCAGTCATAATCGGTAAGAATTAAGAATACAAATGTTCTTACTGTAGAGTTAAAATTACAAGATCCCACTTATTTATAGTTCTTAATCACCATCCTTAATGGCCTGCCCTCTCAAGAATCATGGCAATTAATTTGACTCCTCAGAATTGGATTTCGTGATGCATAATCTGCCTTGGTGGAGAAAATTTCACAAAGCAACATTGACATTTAATACATTCCCTCTGCTTTGGTATCATTAATTCTGGCCCGGAAAGTGGTTGAAGGGGTCATGACTGCTGAGTTGGGTGGGTTATATCTGCTCAAAATGTTGTTTGGAGTGACAATTAATGAAGGAGATCTTGAGAACAAACTGAATAGCTTGATGACAAATTGAGACCAGTGTATTAGTAGATGAACATGGATTGAGAGGATTGGGAATTCTATTAAATCCTCAATTTGGGTCATTGAATCCTGTTTAATAGATTTGTAATTCGTACACGAACTTGGATTTGAAGGTGAATACAGTGCATCTTAGAGATTACAGCCATCTTTGGGTTTTAAGCTGTTTTGCACTAATCCAGGAGGCCAGGCCTCAGTATCAGGCAACAGAAAGCAGGGCCCAATTTATTAGCTCAATTAACTGATAATAGAAGATTAGGGAGGAGGTGCAGGACGTTTAGGTAGCCAGTACAATGGTAAATTGAGAAAAATATGGGCCATTTATAAGTCTTGTCAACTTTCTATTATGATAAACAAACACAAACTGGTACAAGTTCTTGCTTGTGGATCTTATCCAATTGAAGTCACAATGACCAAAGGATTATCCTTGAGGGGGAACAATAAAAATGGAACAAGAAGACTTTAACCCGGAAATGTCTAAAATGGAGTTAATAAAAGATCAGATTTATTGGACCAAAGTAAAAAATTAAAATAAAAAAAATGGAAGATATTGTCAAAGATAGGACCGAAGGCTGTAAATTTTTTTTTTTTTTTCAAATAAGTTCGATTTTGGCCCCAAACGAGCTTTTTATCGAATTGAACCCGAGTCAGATTCGAGTAGGTTGAATTTTTACTTATAAACTTCAATTTTATGCTAATGGAAAAAGTTTAAGTCCAATTTAAAAGCTGAGGGGCAAGGGAAAATAGGAAGAGATTGTTGGATTGGATGGTAAAGATAGAAAGATTTGTAAATTAGAAATCTTGAATTCAAAACCTCCTGCTAATAAAAAAAAAAGTTCAACGAACACAAAATGTTGCTCATGTTTGATTTGATTAATTAACCAATTAAATTTGACTTATGGAGTTAAACTTAATTCGAATTTTGAATAGTTTGATTCATCTTCTAACCCTATCTATAAATGGAGCCAAAAATGACAAACAAGGTGAACGAGAAATTGGCTCAAAACTAAACTCTCAAGAATGATTTGTTAATTGATTGAATCAAATCATAAAGAGTATATTCAATTGGTTTAAAATATTTCCAACTCAACATGGAAACCTAAAATCTAAAATTTATACTAGTACAATACTTCAAGAGTTCAAGCTAATAGAGCTCATCTTAAGCGCTAGTGAATACTCAGAAATGTTGATGTCCCTAATTCAATAAAAACTCGTTTAAGTATCAGTTAATCACAATTAAAAACGAGTTTAAGTACCAATTAATCACGGTGCTTGGATTAGGCCAGTATTCCTTTAACCCCTACAGATATAACCCCCCTACGTATATAATACACGATAACAGAAATGCACAACAAACAAATCGCTGAACAATAGAGGAGCAAACGAAAGAGGAAGAAGAGAGTGAAGAGAAGCTTGGATTCTAGGCGCATAGAGGGAGAGAGAATGGTGAACTACTCGCTGATGATCACCGCGGAGCTGGAGAACCTCACTGATCTTCAGCCTCAAGGCGGCTGTGACGACCCTAGCTTCAACTACTACTTGAAGGTCTTCAACCATTTCTCTCCACGTTTTTCGTTTTCGCCTATAATCTAGGGTTTTAATTTTCATTTTTAGCTTCTTTCGATGAATTTATTCGTGTTTTTCTTGTTCTTTTCTCCTCCTTTTTTTCTCAGCAATTTATTGCCGTCATTTCATTATTTATATCGTTCTCCTGCAAGTTTCTGTGTTTTTTTATCCGCGATTACTAAGCGAGCTGAATGCGACTACTTTATTCTCTCTCTCTCTTTCTCTCCCTCTCTTCTTGTGTAAATCTCTAGATTTCTTTTAATAGTATCGTAGATTTTGCTCTCTGTTTAATTCTAGAAGTTTCTATAACTAATGCATACAGCTGAATGCGTTTTAGTTCATTTTTTCTTTTTCGATTGTGTAATTTGAGCTTATTGTTTCGTCCTTGTTAATTTGGGTGACGAAGTAGTATCATTAATTCAATTAGGATTTACGCTATGTTGAATTACGGATATGTTGGATAATAGGTAAATTATTGCTGCCTTTGGTTTATTTTGCGTAACTGGTACTTGTCTGTAACTACCTTTTCATTTTGGCTTAAATCTGCGTTATGATCATTTCATTCTGAATCTCCATGCCTCTGTGGATATATGTTCGTGTTGTGTGCACAACCACCACGCAAGCAATTGAATGACACCAGAGCCTCGTTATGTCAGTCCTTTTCCGTTTTTTTTTTTTCATTTTTTCTTCTTCTTATTTAATGTTTCTGTCAATTTTTGATTTTCAACTCTTTGTCTGATAAAATGCGGGTCTGCTACAATATGGTTTTATAGAGAGTAGTGTGATTTGGCATATAGCTATAGTTAGTGAACTATTCTTTTACATTGATCCCATCTGCGTGATTTTGTAAAACTTGTTGATTATGTTTATCATGCTTTGGTCCTTGGAAAACTTTGTACTCCTTTATGTATGCACCATGAGATGTGTTGATGCTGATTCCTCAAAAGATTTGGTGATTAGGCCTCATCTGGAGTTATTGAACTTACATCAATCTCTAGTGATTTTTTTCCAGAAAATCCTATTTTCTTGAATCTTTCAATGTGAATTATTCCATGAGGAAAGATGATTCATATCCTTTTCTACACTACATTCTCTTGAGGTTGTTGGCTCTTAGCAAAAGATTGTGCAACATCTTGGACATCATGGGGTTATAATGTATCATCCTCACTGCCCCTCCCTTTAGTTTATTCTGCTCTGCATTGTTGTGCTATGGAGGAATTGGTGTCCAAAATCTTACTGTTTTGACTGTTCAACAGAACATGCTCATTGTGAATTTTAACTAGTAACTTTCAGCCTTTAATCTGCTTTCTGATGTAATTGTTATGCTAATGGATACCAATATATTTTCTTGATCTCTTACCTTTTCAAGTGTTATAATGTTCCTCTTCTTCCTCCTTTTTGTTATTGTTGTTGTCTGTTAATGTCTAGTTTGAAGTGTTGACCTACTCAAATTTTTATACAATATATGTTCCAAATACATGCTTTTCAATTCCTTTTTGTTTTTGATTTTCAGCTGAAATGTGGGAACTGTGGTGAAGTGACCCCAAAAGAGGTTTGTCTTTGCCTGACTGATGTAGTTCCTCATGGCAAGGGCAGTACTAATCTTGTTAAGAAGGTGATCTGCTCCTGATCTGATCTGTTCTCAATTCTTGAATGTTCAGATTCCCCAAAAAAAAAAAAGACAATGATATGATTTCTTGCTATGAGGATCTTGTGGTTAAAAAAATACTTATTGTGAAAAATCTAGAATTTCGACTGAAACGAAGTTTTATAGAAAGTTTCTTTTCCCCTATGGGCTATGCACCAGCTAATGCTAGTTTTAAGGTGCCAATTAAAGTTGGAGTGCTGTTTACTTCTTGATGCATGGATGTGTTGGATCTTTGATCTTACTGCTCTTGTAAATTAATTTGTATAGCTGAATAGTTTCTGTTGTATTGGATTGTCAAATCTGTACTCCATTAATGTGTTCTTCTTTCATGCTTCCAGTGCAAGTTCTGTTCAAGGGAAGGAACTGTGACCATGATCACTGGCCGAGGGCGTCCACTGACGCAGATACAAAGTCAATTTGGCCATTTTACTCCCCTGATGGTGTTTGACTGCAGGGGTGTTGAGCCTCTGGACTTTTCTTTTGGTAGTGGATGGCAGGTTGAATCTGTAAGTAAATGCTTCTACAGTTTTTGCATTCTTTGTAGCTTGAGTGATATGTAGTTGTAACGTTGTGTAATTTTAGCTGCTGTTGATCCATTTCTTACTAGAACATTTTAACAACTAAGTATTTCTTTTACCTCTACTTTGGGTCACTCTTCTCTGCATTTTACACTACTGAATTTCCTTCTTCCAAGTTGCAAGTCATATCATGTAAGCTTCCTGGCAAAGTTTACTATGTTTTAGGTCATCTATTGTAGTGCCGTTTCATTAGCTGTTAAAGATGTGAGAAGTATATGTTATCACAGTCTGACTGCACTTGGAATACATCTACCTGAGAACAAGAGCAAGAGAAAACAAAAAAGAAAACATCTCGAGGTTACACGTTTTTTGCATTATATCTTGAATAATGACTTCAATGCCTAGATTGTTTGATGCTGTCATCATAGATGACAATTTCACTCTTGAATGTTGTTTCTTATATCTGTACCGGTACATTTGTGATGTCGTTGACTTGATTAGGTAATGTTAAATTGCTGAAATCTCAGTCTCTTAGAAGGTTCATTCACCATCTGAGAATGGAAAGTGGAAGGTCAGGAGTTGCTTTTAGGAAGTGAATTTCTGAACTATAAGAGCTGGACCAGTATTCAGCTCAATTTTTTGAAACTATATTGAACAGGGACATGCATTTTTTTTTTTTGTTGAAAAAATTTGTCTCTGTTAAATGTTGGTGCCTTTGCAGCTGAAACCTTCTTCAGCAGCTTTAGTGTTTGCCTTTGCCCATGGTTAATGCATATTTTTGGGATGGGAAACTTCTGATATGTTCTCTTCTGGCATAGCTATAGATTGACTTCTGAATTCCAAACCACAATTTTTACATTGAGTTTTTCAATTTGCTTTCTTTTCAATATACATCCAAGATAAGTAACTGTATGTTACTTTTGCAGACATACATAATTGTTTATTAACAAAAAAGGAATTTTGGTTGGTCGATATTGTTATGGGGTACTTGATACAAATTCATTCTGTATGGAAAGCTTCTGTTGTTCTGGTTATTCTTTCTCCCTCCTAAAATTGTTTGATCAACAGATTTGCTCATATCACTTGCCTGCATGGGATTGATTTGAACTTAAAATGGTAGATTAGGGCCAAAGTTTTGGGATTGGGGAGATTATGAAAGGGGGAAGGAGGTTTATATTATATTCCTCTATTTTGGAGAATAATAGGTCTTGTGGGTTGTGCTTGTAATTGCCCATCTCTTTTTCGAGTGGTTTATGTGAAATAAGGCATTGAATGCATCTAAATGTTATTACATTTATCAAGTTGCTAACTTATTTCGTGATGTGGGCTTATGACATTGGATGTGTATCCATTATGAAATAGTATTTGGCTGTGAAATCCTGATGTTTTGGAATTTGTGTTCTCTTTTTCAATGTCAGCAATTGCATGCCCAAATTAATGGAATTGTCAAAAAAAGTTTGAAAGCTGTCTCATGTTATTTCTTGTCATCTCAGCTTCAGAATTCATGAATTTAAAGTCTTTTTGTTCTTTTCCTTGGTGTAGATTGAAGGAACAAAGTTTGATGGTGTTGATTTGTCTGGAGGGGAATTTGTTGAGTATGATGAGAAGGGAGAGTGTCCAGTCATGATTTCCAACCTCCGTGCCAGTTTCGATGTTCTTAAGTAGTGCCCATTTGTGCATCCAGCTGCGTAAATATAAGTGGTACAGACTAACAGTTTCTTGCAATTTCTGTTCAAAATGGAAGAATATCAACTGCAGCTTGTGATGTTTGGAATGAGCTGCATAGTAATGTACGCTGTGTTCAAGATATGCTACTTGACTATGTTGGTTGCCACTGTTAAGAGTGTTGACAGACTTAAAAGAAAACTTCCCATGGAACATATTTCCAGTATTTCTCCACTTCCGACATTGCTTTTTCCTATAATGTGTCGTTCTGATCATGGATGGATGCTGAAATTTGATGAGAAGTTCATTGAGTTTTTTTGTTCAGCCATCGGTTTGAATTATTATCATCTGGCATCCTTTTGGGACTGGGAAGTGGCTAAACGGGAAGAGAGGATGTGCATCATTAACTGGCGATATTTCGGTTGCAATGCTAATACTATGGCATCTCGACGGTTTTGTGCCACGCACCAGTTGGTGCTAGTCTTCACCTGCCAGGAGAATCTTATTATCATGGGAGTATGCTGCTTAAATATAAGACTTGGAAATTGGTCAGTGCGGGGTGGGGCTTAATGAAAATATGGTAATTCGTCTTGTTCACGTAGGCCTGGGGTTTGGTGAGAGGGTTGTAATTTAGGTGCATTTAACGTGGGATATATGCAAATGCATTTCCAATTTTGAGGTGCATTTCTAATAAGGGAGAACTGCACAAATAGTCCCTCACATATTGCAAATGTGAAAATTCAGTCCCTCAGATCGAAAATGATCAATTTTAGTCCTTATCAAATAAAAAATGATCAATTTGAGTCCCTTTTCACTTTTCCGATTGATTTTTGCCCGGAATATCTCACGCGCACACCACGTGGCCAACTTTTCAAGGGTAAAAATGCCAAACCACTTATCTGTTGACCAAAACCAAAATGTAAAGGACGAATACTTCCCAAAAAAATCTCCATTTGGGTACTAACTCACCGTTCCATCTCCGATTCCTCTCAACCCAAACAATAAAACTTAATTATCACTACCCACTACCCAGCAGCGGACTGATGTTGATGAAAAGGAGCGTTAGTGACTAAAGCGAAGAAGAAACAAGCATACCAGAGTGATGGACGAAGAAGACATTCAATGGATCCCAAATTACAGTATGTTTTTCTAAACCCTAAACTGTAAAATTTATGGAATGATGTCAGATACTATGTGAATAGTTTAAATACAGTTGCAATAAGCATGATTTGTGCAGTTAAGAAGCATTATTATATTGATTAGGGTTGCTGGTGGTCAATTTTATGTATTAAATTGTTGTAAGTACATGTGGTCCCTTGTATTGTGTTGTGTTGTCGCTTTACATAGATGGACTGTCGGTCCCAAAACAATTTTTTTGTTGTTAACTGTCTCCTAAATGGTTGGCAGATGCTATGAATCGATTTTCCATTAGGGTCCACTATGGAGGTGAATTCACTGAGTTGCCGAACAAAGAATACCGCGGGGGTAGTGTAAAAATTGTTGACTGTTGCAATCCTGACAGATGGTCTATATGTACACTTGATAGGGTTGCAGAAAAACTGGGTTATCCTGAGTTTACTGTAATATACTATTACTTAATACCCGGGAAGAACATGGAGGATGGGTTAGTGTATGTGTTATGTGAAGATGTTGCTCAGGATTTGGCTAGAGACGGAGTGAAATATGGTTTGGTTGATGTATACTTTGTGCACTTAAAAACCTACTCAATAAGTGAATGTGAAGCTGGACCATGTAAACCAAAAGAGGGGACTGATCCTAAGGAAAATCAACAGGGTAGTAAGGTGCATGAAGAACCTTCTGATGTAGAAGAAATAATGATGACTAATATTCCTGTAACTCAATCTGAAAATGAGGGTGAAAAGGATAGCATAGGTGCTGGTGAGTCAGGAGCTAATAAACACATAGAGGAAGCAGCCATAGGAGAGAACTTAGGTGAAATGCTTTCAGAAGTTGACATTAGAGTTGCTGATAAAGGGGATAGTGCAGCAAATATAGGAGGGCCTGATCAGAATTTTAGAAAAGAACAAGATTGGACAAACTCAGAAGTACAGAATACAGGAAAAAATGCACCTTCTACTAATAAATCACCAAAAGAGAAATCATTAAAGAAAAAATCCTCAACAAATAAAGAGCAGACTGAAAAAGTTGAGAGAAAGAAGAAGAGTAAGAAGGAGACACATGCTGAGGAAGATGAGGAATCTGCTGATGGTGACAAGTTCATTGATAGTGACTATGAGTTCAGTGATGAAGAAGACATAGTAAAATCTGTTAAAGACAGAAAAGCTGAATGGGAGAAAATTGTCAAAAATTGCAAATCAAATAAGAGTACAAAGGAGAGAACATGTCAAGTGGAGAATGCTGAGATGGAAGAAGATACTACTGACTCAGATGAATTTGATAGTTGGTGTGACTCAGAAGAAAAAGAAGATCAGCCAAGAAAAAGAGCTAAGTTTCCAAAATTTAACCCTGAAACTGATATGATTGATCCCAAATTTGAGGTTGGGCAGATTTTTACTTGTAAGCAGTTGTTCATGAAGGCATGCAAGAGCCATGGAGTGGTTCACGGAAGGAAGATAAAATTCAGTAAAAATGATGGCAGAAGAGCTACGGCTTATTGCAAGGACTGTAGCTTGAAAGTTTCTACAGCTGTTATGCTAGACAAAAAGACTTTTCAAATCAAGAGCATGCAAGGTAAACACAGTTGTGGGAGGACATTTGACCACGGACTAGCAAATTCAACTTTTTTGGTTGATAGATACAAAAAGGAGCTGACTGCCATGACCGACATGAAGGTGAGTACGCTCACAGATAAAGTGAAGACTGATGTTAATGTCAACATCTCTAGGTGGCAAGCTTATAGAACTAAGAAAAAGGCAGAGAGTTTAGTTAATGGTGAACATGAAGCCCAATACAACAAACTAAGAAACTATTGTAGGGAAGTAAAGAGGGCTAATCCTGGCTCAAATGTTTTCATGACCACTGTTGAAAATGATGAGGGAGAAGATAGGTTTGAGAGGTTGTATATTTGTCTCAATGCATGCAAGACAGGCTTTTTAAGTGGTTGTAGGCCTGTTGTCGGGTTAGATGGCTGCCATCTTAGAGGGCCCCACAAGGGTGTGTTGCTTACAGCTGTAGGAATTGACCCCAATGATCAGTTGTACCCCATTGCCTATGCTGTGGTGGAAATAGAAAACAAGCTGACTTGGAAATGGTTCGTAGGTGAATTGCTGAATGACCTCCAAATCAGAGATGAAAATCATTGGACAATTATTACTGATAAACAAAAGGTATGTTAGTGTATTTTTCTGGGGTTTTTTTAAACTGAGTTTGCTAGTTTTAATTTGATGATCTGGTTTCACCTTTTTATTTGTTGAAGGGACTGATTCAAGCTATTCAAGATTTGCTTCCAGATGTGGAGCATAGGATGTGTGTGAGACACATGTACAATAACTTTAAAAAGCTGCATGGTGGTTTGGCATTAAAGGAGAGAATTTGGGCACTTGCAAGAGCTCCTTACAAAAATCTGTTCAAGGCTTTGATGGAAGCTTTGAAAGCAGTTGATGAGGGTGCATTTCAATGGTTGGTTGACAACACAACACCACAGCAATGGTCCAGAGCTTACTTTAGAACCTCCCCTAAATGTGATATTTTATTGAACAATCTTTGTGAGAGTTTCAACTCCAGCATTTTAGAAGCAAGGGAGAGGCCTATACTAGGTATGTTGGAAACAATACGACTTTATTTAATGGTTAGAATGGAGCATAAGAGGGAGTGGATGAAGAAGAATACAGGAAAGGTATGTCCCAAAATTTTAAAAAAGTTGGAAAAGGTAAAAACTGGTTCTAGTGCATGTATAGCTACACCTTCAGGGGACTGGAATTATGAGGTGAGATGTATGTATGGATAGGTACACTGTGAATTTGGCTAGCAGAACTTGTAGTTGTAGAAGGTGGGAACTAAATGGCATTCCTTGTGCTCATGCAATAAGTGCCATTGCTTTGACAAAGGAGTCTCCCGAGAACTTTGTTCATGAATGCTACTCGAAAGAGGCCTATATGAAGGCATATGGGCCTATAATATATCCTCTCAATGGTGAGCATTTGTGGAAGGATTTGAAACAGGTGCCTGTCCTACCACCTGAAACCATCAAGCTTCCTGGCCGGCCAAAGAAGGTAAGAAGAAGAGAGCCAGATGAGCCACCAGCTACAACAACTTCTCGAGGACAAACAAAGAGACTGTCTAGAGTTGATCTAATGGATTATAAGTGCAGAAAGTGTAAACAGAAGGGCCACAATAGTAGGAAGTGTCCAAGCAGTCATGATCAAGAGAATATCCAGCAACAAGCTACTGCGGTTACAAGTAGCTCTCAATCACAACAGCAGACTCCCAACGCTATGAATCCTGGTGCAAACAAGCAGTCCCAACCTCAGCAGTCCAATTTCACACCTGAAGCAGTTTTTGGTGCAAGTGGCTTGGAGACTGATACAAATGACCAAGTCTTGTTTGATCTCATCAGTCAAATCCCAGATCAACCTACAACCAGCCAACCACCTACTTCAACATTGACAACAAAGAATGCAACATCTCCAGTTCATGTTTCTCTACTTGTTCATACTAATAATAGCATGTTGACTTCTTTCTATACTATTATTTATTTACTTGAATTTCTGGTTGCCAATTGTCAGGGTAAGAAAGTCAAGTACAGATGTGGTGTATGTCGGAGATTTGGACACACTCGAAGTAGTTGTGATTCAACATTGGCCTCTCTCTATAAGAGACACCCATGGGAACCACCTGGATTGGCTGTAAGTATTGTCTACTACATGCATAGTCTAAAGAGACTGCAAAGATATCTACTTTTAAGACTGCAAAAATTGCTATTGACTGTAAGTAATTGACTGTAAGTAATGGCCTCTTCATTGTTTTGTTTGTATCAGAGGCCCAAGAATACTGCAAATATATCTACTTCTAAAAGTGCTGCAAAGAGGGCTAAAAAGGCCTAGATGACTGGCCTGTTATTGCAAAGAGGGATGACTGCAAAGATATCTACAAAAGAGTGCTGCAAATGGTGGATATAATAAAGAATCCACAAAAGAGTGCTGCAAATGGATTATTTTTCGCCTTTTTTGTCTTGTATTTGACTTCAGCAGACCTTTTTTTGGAGCAATGGAATTGATTTCTTAGTTCATTGCATTTTTTTTTGATAACAGGCGTATTGTAATGAATGTACTTGGCTCGGTTATGTACTGTTTTTTTCATTGCAATGGAATGCATGCTCTTCTTATTTTTGAAGGGACTGATTATTGGTTAGTTGAACCCTCAGCAGATGACATTGGCAGGACTGAAGAATGAATATACAATTATGTTGTCTCCAATTTTGTTTACTGACACAAATATTGAGTAGCTAGTTAATGTTGTTGAAACCTTGCCAAGTTCTGATATGGCTTAACCCTTAAAAAGTTTTTGGCAGGGCAGCTTTTAATGTTGTTGGTCTCATATTTGGCTGACTAGACATGGTGGACTGCAATATGAAATCTTGTGTTAATGCCTTCTTCCCCTTTCGACTTTCTTCCCTCTCCTGCTGCTGCTGCTTCGGTATAGCAGCAGTTTTGACAAATTCTTTTACCTACCAACTCTGTATTAAGACTTAACATGCGGCCATGTTGGCTCACTCTAGTGGTTTGCTTGTCCTCCTCTCTTTCCAATATTTGATAGCCACCCTAAAACAGTTTTTTTTTTCAAAAATATATTTTAGGTTTTAGAATGTATTTGATATGCACGAGTGTGTTTTTTTAACCTGTAATTGGAAATGTTTTTTGTAACCTATACTATACCATTATTCCCTCTCAGCAGGTGAGGTTTAACTTATGGGACATGATCAAGAAAATTTTTCCCTAACATGAGGGTCTTCGCTTATAATATCGCCATTATCATCTGCATTATCTTTCAAGTTAGACTTTTATTCCATCTTATGCTATAAGCTCATATTCAAGAAAAAATCACAATATACCAGAAAGAACTTAAGCTTCATAATTGCATTCCAACTCCCATTTGTACAATCAACAGGGCCACTAAACGTAACCCAACCTAAGTACAACAAATAAAAGCCACCCAGTTCCCAGTTCACTACCCAGTTCCCAGTTCACCGCCTGCACCAATAAATGCCAGTTACAACTCAATCTTTGCTCAATAAATTCTGCACTATGAATACAACAAAGGCCGCAAACAGCAACAATTTCATCATTTTCTCCTTGCGTCTTGTTTCTTCCACCTTTGCCTCCAACTCTCTTAATCTCTTCGCCAATCTTCTTGTGTGTCTCACTAATTTATCGCACCTCTCGCAACTGTTTGTATCATACCACTTGAAATAGCCACAGCCGCCACCACCATTATACTGTTCAAAATTACCTCTTCAAATTTCACATTTTCTAAAAGAAAAAAGAAACAGAAATCAGGCACACTTACTTCGTAGTAAGCGCAACCATAGAACCTCTTTCCTGGATTTTCAGTTGTCCACGACGTCTTCACCCTAGCTGGTACACCGCAATTACAAGTTGGTGGTTCTGCCATGGAGATGAGGCTCAGCTTTTGGGTTTGGTTGAAATGAAGAAGAAGAAGAATTTCAGGAAGTATTCGTCCTTTACATTTTGGTTTTGGTCAACAGATAAGTGGTTTGGCATTTTTACCCTTGAAAAGTTGGCCACGTGGTGTGCGCGTGAGATATTCCGGGCAAAAATCAGTCGGAAAAGTGAAAAGGGACTCAAATTGATCATTTTTTATTTGATAAGGACTAAAATTGATCATTTTCGATCTGAGGGACTGAATTTTCACATTTGCAATATGTGAGGGACTATTTGTGCAGTTCTCCCTTTCTAATAATTCTTCATCCAGATTCTGGATTCCCTGCCTTTGTTTTTCAAGTTGGCCCGCATTCTGTCGGAAGCGTGGGAGGGTGGAGGATGGTCATTCACACGTGCTCTCTTCGAATTACGGTTGGTTGAGCTATACTAATAGTGGTGGGCACCCACTTAGCAATTAGCACATGGCAATGTAGCCATCCCATTCTTCTCCATTTTCTTTTTCATTTTTATTGGATGGTTTCTTTTATATAATCACAAACGATGTCTTTTTTTTTTTTTTTTTTTTTTAAGGTGTGTCCCGCAGGGAGTGGACCCCGCAGACTATTCACCACCCTCAACAACTTGCTGGCAGCAAGGTTCGAACCAGGGACCTGAAGCCCCATCTTCAGCAACCTCAACCACCAGACCAAGCCCCTGAGGGCCACAAACAATGTCTTCTTATTCAGATAGTGATAATTGTACGTGAGGGTACAAAAAATTAGATCACAAATTTTGCTAATGCCTGTATCTATTTTTCGTTTTTGTTTACGGAGGCGTTAAAGCTAGACCTAATCTTGCATAATTAGTACGTATAAGTTGTATTATTAATTTAAAAACTTGTACAACATGTATGTGTTCCATCATTAGTACTAAAACTCATATAGTGTATTAGAATGAGAGAATGCGCATTCAAATTTTGTTCTTTTTATCAATCTTTTTGACACTATTAGTAGTTATATCCCATAAACATATTATACTTGATTTTTTTTAATTAAATGATCATGCATCACATTTTTCAATCATCTTTTTTATATTCTTAACTATCTTTAATTCATCTTGGTGTTTTGATTTCTTTGTCATTGTTGAACTTTTCTAGCCAACGGTTATGAAGGGAAACTTATATAAAACAATGATGAGATATTTTACAAATTAAGCAGAGGGTGGACAAAGTACAAAATTGGCGCTGCTTTCTGGGTCGCTGGCGGTTTCAGCTAAGAAAGGAGTAAAATTGTTGACCCGTGATTTCCTAGAATCATGCCAAATTGCCAATGGCTTTTTTTTGTCGTCTTGGATAAGAACTTAATTGCTAGTGTTTGCCTGTTTAAGGGTCATTCAACAAAACAAATCTGGGAACAAAAGAAAAAAGGGAAGAAATTGTATGAATTGTCAAGGCTACTTCGAAAACAAACATAGTCAAGTTGGTCCTCAAAAATTTCCTTGTTTTCTTTCTACTTTTCCTATAAATAATGTACTAAAGAAACTCGATAAAAATTGGACATGAAATAGAGCACAATCGGTCTATGAAATATTTGCTCCTTTATTTTTTTTTTCCCAAAAAGAATGAAATTGGCTCCTACAAACTAGTCAGAGTGCTGGTACATTTGCTTTAATTCGTGATGTCTACCATTAGAGAGTCTGCCTCTTTTTTGCAAAAAAAAAAAAAAAAAAAAAAAAATAGACTGCTTTTGCTAGCTATCCATATGTACAATGTATAATAAACTCCTCCTATGTCCAATATCATATTCAATTTATATTTTTTCTATTGTTTTTGGTCTTTCTTTCTATTTGCGACAACATTTCTGGGAGCATTTCTTACCTCTCTCTGTATCTTATTTATTTCTTTAAATTTCTCTTAAACATCAGCCAAAAAAAAAAAAAAAAAACCAAGTTGGACTGTCTGCATCAGTTAAAAAAAAAAAAACCAACCCACCTACTTTTTACTTGTATTCCCCCAACAAAGCAAAAAGGGTACAAACTGAAAAAAAAATTAATGAAAAAAAACATTAACAGTTATAAAATGAAACTGCCCATAACACAGGCTTTTTTATTACATTTTATTTTGCTAAATTCAAAATGAAACTGCCCATAACATAACATAGGTTGTTAAGTATTTCAGTCTTTTACCTAACCACTAAACCTCCCAAAGCTGTCTGTCCTAGACATGTGTTTAGAAACCAAAGACATTCTTTTAAAATCAAAAGTTTCACATTCCCCATTCTTTCTAGATCTGTTCCCTTCTTTCTTGGATTTTGATCATGCCATTCTTATTCCATCTCCCTGTCATCCCCACCACCTTAAGTCCTAGGCATTCCAAGTGTAGCCTTTGTTCCTTTTTCCTTGGCCACTTTTCTCAGTGTCCTTTGCTTAAGTCCTAACTCTCCCATCACCAATATCTGGAGCATTAAAGCCCTGTGACAACAAATTAAAGCATTTCCCAAACAACAAATTTTATCCTCCTCCTCCTTTTTCCCCATATGGTATGCGTCTGGCCCATTTTTTTGGCTAATTGCTACAGTAAGACAGCTACAGAGCAGTACTTTTAATCTCGTAATTACTCATGGAATATCCATTATGTTCACGAAACCATGTGATACTGTATCAAATAAATTTGTTTTTTTCATTTTAACCTCCTGCCCACTTGGTGAATTCTCTCCAATTGGTGAAATTTTTCATTTTTGTCAGTTTCTTGAATGTTCTTTTGGTTGGTTTACGGTGCTTTGCTCTGCTATCTGCCTTTTTCCCTTTTTTTCTACTCCTGTATTCAAACTACCCAAAAGCTTCAGTCTTGGTTGTATTTAGGATTACGGTAACTTAAGCGATCACAGGAAGGCGAAGTTTAAAATTAGTTGATTATATGTCATATGGGATGCAATCCGAGTCTCTGATTCTAGGCCGTGTGACAAAAGGAGTAATTTTTTAATTGAAGGTTTCAGATGTTTGAAGGGAGATAACGGTTGTATGTGGATTTTTGATTCGATATCTTAGGAAACTAGAAATCCCTTAGGTGAATTTTGTTATACTTGTCTCAAGATGCAATCAACAGTTGTATCAATGGAGAATGGTAAAGATTTTGCAGTTGTAAATAGGACAGGTCAAAATAGGGCTTTACCTCATAGAATGCTTCAGTTACTCGTGGTGTTTTTGGGGTTGTGCTTTATCTTTTCTGTGGTTAGTGTTTATATGATTAGGCATTATGGCGCTGATAATGTGCTTGCTGCAGCAAAGCCCAGTTTTCAACCTTGTTTTGAGAAGGAACCAATTAGTTTAGAACGTTGGATAAAGCCTCCCTCAAAATTGCTTCACTCAATGAGTGATGAAGAGTTGTTTTGGAGGGCATCATTGGTGCCTCAAATCAAGAAGTATCCGTTCAATAGGGTTCCGAAGATTGCTTTCATGTTTTTGACTAAGGGGCCATTGCCTTTAGCTCCTCTTTGGGAGAGGTTTTTTAAGGGACATTCTGGGTTGTATTCGATATATATTCACTCGTTGCCATCATATCAAGCAGATTTCCCACCCACATCTGTTTTTTACGGGAGGCAAGTTCCAAGTCAGGTATGCTTTTGTCAGTTGTCACCATTGAATCATTTCCAGGTAGTTGCTATATGTAGTTAAGAATCTTTATAAGTTGTTTTTTATACATATGATTGATGGTCTTTGGTGCCCAAAACAGCTCAAGTTTTTGGAGAGTAATTTAGTCCAAACTTATCGTAGCTTTCATCCTTCATATGCAGATACCTTGGGCATAAATTGTGCTTTCTTTTCTCCTTGCTGGAAATTAAACAATTTAGTTCTTTCTTTTTTCCTTCCATGTGAATAATATTTAGTCCTTTAGCAATGCTTTGAAATCTTCTTACCTGTAGGTCATGGTTAGAGTTCTGAAACTGTTTGTTGTGTACAATAGCTTTTACTTATCTTAAGATGTTAAATTCAACATTGAAAAGTTGTTATCCTCATTTTACAATTCAGTGATGGATGGATTTGATAGTTTACTTTTCACTTCCATTAGTTTGAATGCTTGGATAGTTCAATATTTGCCTTCACCAAATGTATGGTTCATGCAGAACCCTAAAGTTATGTGTTTATACAACATGACATGTCGATCTCAATTTCTCCAAGTATATGTCCCTTGGGCATTTTAAGTAGCTTAAATTTGAAACTGCCCAATTTGATTGTCTTGCAAACCCTGTGCTTTGTATTTTGCTTCAATTTTTCTATAACCTCTTAAATGCACTGACTTGAGTATTTTATCGAGTGGTTGTCATTTATATTTATTTCTTGGAAGGCCTGGCAAGGCAAGATATGAAATTTGATGTTATGCAAGGAAGCTTTTAAGATTCTGGAATTATCCCTTCCCCTTGGCTTTTGCGCTTTTGCTTTATGAAACCATTCCTGTCAACTAGTAAAAGAACCATTAATACAAATACAATGTCTAGTTTAACCAGCCAAGCATGTTGTCTCTGTTGCCCTATGGCATTATTGAATGTAACTCCTATAAAGGTGTTTAGCTGTCTGTATAGCACGTACGTGAAGGTGCAGCTGGCTGCTCTTTGTAAATCCCATCATATAGTGTAGCAAGTTCATTGGAACTAAGAAAATATCCCCTTTGAACATTGTAAGCTTCCTTTTCTAGGAAGTGTTTGGCTTTTGTAACTTTATACTCATGCGCAGATGAAGCATATTTCCATGCGGTACTCAAAAAGCAAATGTGGAAGCCAGCTATTCTGTATGATTATAACCTTGACTGAGTATTATTCTTTACATGCATGTGAACAACTACAGTGTCTAAGTGCAAAGGCTGGAACCTTGAGTGCTGGACGAGACAGAAAGTGTTTGCGCTAACAGAAAGCATGGATAGGATGTAGACAAGTGACATCTTCATATTTATTGCTCGATATGTCAAATAGAGGGTCTGATCTGCATATTGAAACATAGTTTTCTGTATGTTGTTATTTGAAGGAAGATATGCAAGTTTAACTTTGTTATTCAAGTAGTGTGAGCAAGATCTTGCATAAACAGTTTTAAGTTCAATTATTGGTGGTAAAAAGAAGGTTTTCGTTGAAGTTATCAACAGGAAGCTTATTGGATCTGCTTGTGTTAGTCTTGTTAATTTTGTTAAGGATACATTTGAAATGGTTTTGCTTTTGGGATCTTAAGAGTCTAGCTCGTCAACAGTGATTGTGAGCACTAATTGAAAGAGACGGGACTGATCTCACTAGGGAAGTTCTTCTAGCTTGCAGAGGATGATGTCATCATCTTGTTTATTAGAATGTCTAGTTAGCAGTTCACTAATTTTCTGGGAAATATATAAGCTTTTCTGCATATTGGAAATTTTTAAGCTATAAAGTGGCTGTTCACATTCTGATGGTTCCTCTCTTTTAACAAACTTTATTCGTATGAGTTTGCTTCCTGGTTATCATTCAGTTACTCTTTTGTCTTAGTGCATTGAGTTTGATTACCAGAATGAAATAATTGATGCTGAAAGAGATTATATGTATAGGGCCCTGTGCTGGGAGTCAGGAGAAGGCCATATATTGCAGCTTAAAAGCTACTTTTTCAATGAGCTGAGCTTAGAGATTTTTTTTTTGTTTTAACAGTTGTTTTTGTTGTTTAACTTTATATATAGCTTGATGTTCAAGTTTGCTAACTAAATTGCTATTTCATGTATAATGATGATGCTTGAAACATGAGTCTGGTTTGACTCAATGAGTCTTTGAGATTGTTTTTTCAATTTGCAGAGGTGCTTTCTATTTGTACTTCCAAGTTCTGTGTACTTAGTTGATTTTCAAACTTGAGTTGTACTTGCTTAGTTGCATGTGATGCTATTTTAATCATTAAGTAGCACATGAATCAGACGTTTTAATTTCTTTCATTTTTATTTGCACATATGATTATTTTTAGGTCAAGTATATTAAAAATAAATCCTAGTGAAAGCCTCCATGAAATATCGTGATTTAGTAAAATAAAAATGCAGATAGTAAACCCTCAGCTCTAGAAAATTGGAGGCATAGAGTTTCTTTATCTTGTGCTTTTACTTTGAGAGTTTAATGTGCTGTGCATTTATTAGTCTTTGAAATGGATTTTATTCACTTTCCTGGTTGGTTTTCATTTATTCATTTGATTTCTGAAGCAAAATGGTATCAGGTTATTAGTGACAGCTGTAGACTATAGGCAATATCAACCAATCTGTATGGTTTTGTATTTACTTTTCAACTTCAAACATTTTCTTTCAAATGCTACCAGAATTTTGTAAGAAGTGTTGATTTACATGTTTTTTTCAGCTAAAAGTTGGGCTATAATAGGTTGGTCTTGCACAAAAAAGAAATATTGCATATTAAACTTGTGGTTCTTGATTAATTTATTCTAGCAATATGCAGCCTTAATTTATCTTAGCATTTAATTGGCATTTCTTGTGATTGAGCTCCTTGTCATAGATTTGTTTTGGCAAAATGAGCTTTGTACAGCACGAATATGGATTAGCCTTTTTCTAATTTCCACTGAGGTGCTGAAGTCTGTCATATTTCTGTCCTGCTCAGGTTGCAGAATGGGGGAGGATGAGTATTTGTGATGCTGAGAGAAGACTTCTTGCTAATGCATTGCTTGATCTCAACAACGAGTGGTTTGTTCTGCTATCCGAGTCTTGCATTCCACTCTACAATTTCAGTATCATCTACCATTACATAACAAAGTCAAAATATAGCTTTGTTGGGGCATTTGATGATCCTGGCCCATTTGGTAGAGGTCGTTATAATGAGAACATGGCACCAGAGGTTCAGATTAGCCAGTGGCGTAAAGGAGCACAGTGGTTTCAGATCAACAGAAAGCTTGCTCTTATCATAGTTGCAGATACAAAATTCTACCCAAAGTTTGCTGAGTTTTGTAGATCACCATGCTATGTGGATGAGCATTATTTCCCAACCATGCTGACAATTCAAGCTCCTAACCAATTGGCAAACAGAAGCATCACTTGGGTGGACTGGTCACGTGGAGGGGCTCATCCTGCTACTTTTGGAAGTGCAGATATTACAGAACCATTCATTAGGGGAATTCTTGAAAATCATACCTGCCCATATAACGACCAGCCTACTTCAATTTGCTATCTTTTTGCTAGAAAATTTGCTCCAAGCACGTTGCAGCCTCTATTCTTTCTAGCACCAAAGTACTTTGGTTACTGAGATATAGACCGTATTGCCTCTTCTACGATGTTCAGTTATAGGGAATGCAATGGAAGAATGGTGACATGATTGGGTCACGCCATGCAAATTCATTCTTTGTGCTTTGATATGGAAACTAGCCTCTTATGATTTGCATGAACGGCGAACCCTTATGCGGGGCGACCCCCTTCAGATGTACAGGTCGATGCTAGAGCATGAATACCATACGTAAGCTTTTTTGTATTCATCACCATTGGTTGTCCAGTTGCATCGGCAACATTGATATATATTTTTGTTTTCCAGTCAGATACATGTGATGTAAGACGTGTAAAAACTGCAGCTTTTCTTCTCATGTAAAGTTCTCTTCTACTGCAGCTTTTCACTTCTCTGCAGCTCACTGATAAATGGGCTTGGGCATGCCAGTTTGATAGTAGTATTTGGTCTGCAGATGAATGCCAAACTAAGTCAACTCGTTTGCCGGTGTTGCTTGCTCTGTTCTTGCCCGTAATTTATTTTTATCACATCTTTAAGAGCCTACAATTTCTTTTCTGTTACAATCTCCGTTCTACGGTAGACTACAATATGTTTTCTAAGACAAAATAGAAATGGTTACTTGGATTACAGAGATCCATAGTCTAAATACAGCAAAACTTGTTGAATACATGGAGAGGGTATCTCCTTTGGCTCAAAGACCTAACTTCTAAGTCATTTCTCCAGGAAAACCAAGGACGCCTCAAGGTTATTTGCTATTTTTCACTTTTATCTTCAAAGCCTGATATTGCCAGACATGATGCATCAATAGAAACTTCAGTGCATCTGATTTCTCCTGGTTCGTGCTGATTAAAAGAGTCACACTTGTTAATCAGCTAAAGTATTGATCAAACCACAAAGCTTAAGTGCCAATAATGAGACTTGATGCTGCAGCTTCTCTGGTGAAAATCTTTATATTCTTAAGTTGCTTCAGGTTCGATGTCCCTCCAACTGCAAAACAAAAAAGTTAAAGTGAATCCAGCAACTCTATGGACCATCTCTGGGAACAGTCTAAATAGTTAAACCCACCACTTCAAACAACCAAATGCCTCTTCAATATGATGACTTGCAGCAATGATTGTAGATCAGTCAAAATTACTCAACTGATACAGGTTGTTTCAGCTGCTACTGCTGCGTTTTGGCCACTGGCAATGGCACTGTGCTTCTGTGCCCATTGTTCGAGATAAGATGAAGGGGTCATTCACTTTTATTTCGTTTTATTTATTTATTTATTTATTTATTTTGGCAATATTGTCCAAGCCAATATGTTGTTAATTGTTACATGAAGCAAGACATAAGTTCATCGAGAGCACCTCCATAAAATCAGCTTAGAAAATGCATACCAATTGCCAGAAGAACCATAAGATCAGCAAAATATTCGTTCACCAGGAATTTCCCCAAGGGCATGGGCAGCAGCAACCACACAGGTCATGCAACATTTGAGCTCTGTCGCCTGGGGGCCAAATTGCAGCAAGTTGATTCAGTAGTTGCAAGAAATTAAATTCAGGCTTAACTAAGAACTTCCCGACCCCTAGGCTTCAGCTGGCTTGATCCAACTACAGCCAGGAACCTTATTGAAACCTCTTTCCTCAATGGCTTCTCTCAATCGCTTGGCTTCATCCCACTTCCCAGAAGACACATAAATTTTAGAAAGAAGAGAACAATATCCAGTGCTATTAGGCTCCAACTTGAAACACTTAGCAGCTGCAATCTCACCAAGTTCAACATTGTTGTGCACGCTACATGCTAGAAGCAATGCTCCCCAAACCCCAGAATGAGGCTGCATTGGCATTTTCTTTATCAACTCATATGCTTCTTCCAGCCGACCTGCCTTACCTAAAAGATCAACCATGATAGCATAATGGTCAACACATGGTATAATTCCATATTTCTGCATCAACTCAAAGCAATCGTAGCCTTCTTCGACCAAACCAGCATGATTGTATGCAGACAATATTCCCGTGATTGTAGCTGAGTTAGGAGAGATATTAGAATCTATCATCTCCTCAAATAACTTAATCGCATCTTGTCCCCTACCATTAATTCCACAACCCAAAATTATTGCGCTGTAAGCAACTATGTCCTTCTTTTCTAACCTGTGAAATAACTCAATAGCTTTGTCAATACTTCCGCATTTTGCATGCATGTCAATTAAGGCCGTGGAGAGATAATTGTCCATTCTGATTCCAAATTCACCCATGTATGACTCAATCCGACTCCCCATATTTGAATCTCCCAGTTGAGAACAAGCAGATATAGCACTAGCCAACGTCATTTTATCAGGCTGAATATTCAGAATTGGTTGAAGCATCTCATCAAATAGATGAAGAGCCTCTTTCGGTCGGCCATTCTGTGCATAACAAGCTAACATGGCATTATACAACAGCTGGTCTTTCTTTTCCTCCTCATAAAAGATCTTTTCAGCAGACTCAACATCCCCACATTTCGAATATGCAGATATCATAGTGATATATGAAATGCTGTTTCTTTTCGGCATTGCATCAAAGAACCCACGTGCTAATTCTATGTTCCCGCGATCTATGTACCCACGAATCATCACATTCCAAGATGAAGCGCCCCTCTCTGGCATCTCTTTAAACAAAACATACGCCTGATCCATTTTCCCTGCCTTGGCATATCCCAACAAAATTGCATTCCACGATACTATATCTCTCTCAGGCATTCTATCAAACACAGATTGAGCCATTTCTAACTCTCCGAATTTCACATAACCAGATATTACAGCATTCCATGAAACAATATTTCTATCACTCATTTCGTCAAACACCTTATGGGCTGTCTTAATATCACCCATTTTCGAGTAAAAGTCCAAAAGGGCTGTTTGTACATAAACAACACTGGCAAAGCCATATTTATGAACTTGACAATGAACTGACATCCCCCCATTTTTACAATTGATTTTACCATAGGCCTTTGGTATAGATGATAAAGCATATGTGTTGGGAAACACCCCAGATCTCTGAAGCTGCACGTAGAAAATGACAGCGTCCTGGAACTGGCCATGCTGACATAGAAACCTAATAGCATAACCCAATGGGGAAACATCTCGATGTTGGGTATGATTTAGGATTGTTTTAACGTATTGGGTAACATGGGTTTGATGAAAACCGCCTGAAGAAACGATTATTTGCCGAATTAATATAGGTTCAAGATGATCAAGACCATTCGCTAGAATTGAGCCATGAATTTGCTTCAGCTGTTTGATATGCAGAGAAATTGTTAACAAAGCTGAGAAATTAGGAATTTGCATTGATTGTGGCGTGTTACGTTTACGTGATGTTTAGGATTCAAGAAAACCTGTTGTTCTAACTCAGGAGCATTTCAAAACGTGGACCTAAGACTGCTTTACAAGTCACGTCTTCTTATGATGTAAAAATGTAGTTCACAATGGCACATGAAGGCGTGCTCTGTACCCTTTTTTATTTTGGTACGAATGCTCTTAATAAGGCCTTGAGAGTTTATGCTTATCCTCCTGAGGCTAATAAATTGTTGGGCAGAGAAGGAGCGCAGTGCTAACATAAGTTGGCTCAGTTAATAAGGTTAGGTCACTTTCTTAACAAAGATGATGCATTCAAGTCTTGCTATTAATATGCTGATTGCTGAATTTTGAATTATACATTACGTGTGAGACATCAATCATTTCAATCTCGAATTATACATTACATGTGAAGCATCAATCATCTCGAATTAGGAGAAAGGGCCAAGTGCTCTTCAGAGATTGGACCACATGTTTGAGCTCAAATTAGTTGAGCTAGAATAGTCATTATATATATATATTACAACCTATTTGTTTACATTGTGTCTAGATTCATTTCATTTTATATCATGCCACTTATTTACGCTTTTTTGTGACAAATTGGTTTGACCTCGAATTTGTGAGGCCCTTGATACTCAGAGATTGCTGCAATAGGCGACCTCTAGAGACTTAGAAGGGCAAGAGCGGCATAGAATCCATGCAAAGATAACATTGCACTATTTTGTAAAGTTGTGCTCTATCATTACACGTTGTTGTATTAAAGTTCATAAGTATTGTATTAGTTCATAAATGATAATTGCATTGTGTAATTGAAAATGACAGTGAAAATTGCAGAGGTCTTGACTAATATTTGGGCCTCGCAATGTGGTTAGGTAAATACACCATGTCAGATGAATTGGGGTCATGGATTGGTGTCCAACATTAGGCCGGCTCTTTAGTCATAGGGCCCCATTAGTAATTAAAATACTGGGCTTGTATAATTCACAATTCACGGGCTAGAGAAAAAATTGAAGAAATGGCCCCAGTGGAAAATTTGTGAGGCTTTCTCTTGAGGGCTCGCCATCGCAATCAAGTCAGGCTGCTGGTATTACCATATCCCTCCTGAGAGGTCATTTAATCGTCTCCTAATTGGTACGAAATCTTGAGAACGAGACTTCGGGCGTGTTTGAAAATAATTTTTAAAAAAAATATTATTCTACTTGTATTATAAATATATTTTTCAACTGTATTTTATATTGGTTACACCAATCAAAATGGAAACCAAGAGAAGGAAGGAAGAGCACAACAAAAACCAAGGGACCTAGCGAGGAAGAGATCTTTTCTAAAACAGTTGATGCAAACATGTCTATCTTTCTTCCTAACAGTATTATTTATATATATATATATATATCATAACAATATTATAATAACAATTCTAAATAATATCTTAAATAATACTCTATCCAAACGCGTTATTTCGTAAAATAAAGTAAAGAACTTAGAAAATCATGAATTACAAAAGCAATCTACATCTCGTACAAAGTAGTAGTAATATGTATACAATATCTGTAAACATGTAGAACTATAAGAAAAATACAATTAACTCCATATGCAATCGATAGATCACGGGTTCGAGTCTTCCGAGAAGGTAAATGAAGAACCACTGTTGATCCTCTTTATAAAAAAATATTTAAAAAAAACTGTGAACTTTCGACTTTTTGTTGGTTAGGAGTTTTACCCTTACTCTTTAGTCATACCCACGAATAGCTAAAAGTAGTTTTTGAAATCCTACTTTATTACAAAGAGAGGTCTTGAGAACAACACTCGAGGAAGGAACTTAAGTTCCCTCATATAGCCACTGGGCTAAAACTAGTTATCTCTATGCTCCATATTTCGTTGTTTAAATTCTAGTAATTGAATGTTGATGATGATTTATCGAAAATTCAAAGAGAATTGAATCATAGTTCTTGCTAATCATATTAGTTACGTTATACGTGTTAGCATTTGTAATCTACAATAGAACTATACATTAAAAAACGTATGTGGTTTTTGTTGTTATTTTTCTTATCTCAATAAAATTGGACGTAATTAACTTTGGATTACTATGGTGTGCAGGTATAGTTCAAGGATTTAATAATGCGCATGCTCAATTTAATTCGAATGTGCATGTATTTGGATTTGTTTACGTATAATTTTCGTGCTTCAAGTAACAATTATTTTAATTGTAAAATTGTACATTAAGTGTTGGAGGCATATGGCTAACCGTAGAGGATTTTTAGTTATTATTATTTTTTTATTTTCTTAGTGTAGGTGGGAGGTTTCAAACCTGAAACCTCTCATTTACATTCCCTCTCTCGTATCATCCAACCCATCCCTCCTCCTGCTGATTGCGGAGTTGAAAAAATGAAATAAAAAAAAGGCACTTGATTGTATTTGAATATAAATCAATCTCTCAATCTAATTTTATCTCTAAGTTTCAGATGTGTCCAAGAAATGGATTAAGTGATACAAAAAAAAAAACTATTAGTAAAAGACATTAGATTCAAGGTAAATTCTGTAATGTATTCAGCTAATCCAAGATAGGTGTGGAAAGGTAAAGAATATGGCAAAGAAGCCGGCACATTGCAAGCTGACATGTACGGACGATGAAAGGAATATTTCTACAAAAACAAGTGATGACCTATAACAGGCGCGGGCGGTTTGGAAATGTTGTGTACTGCAGAAGCTGGAAATGTATTGGAGTGTCACGGAATTAACATAAATATAATGGGTCTAGGAATAAAACACCGAAGAGGAAGCGTAAGCAATACTAAACACAGCCATGCTTGGCTTTGAAGCAACATATGGTTATTATTGAATAACGAGTTGAGAGCCTTTAAAAAGTGAAACTTAAGAAAATAAATGTTTGAAATATTAAGTTTTTTAATTATGTAATCTATTTTGATTATAGCTGTTCTAATATATAGTCATTTGGAGGACTTCTAGAGTTGAAGTACTGAATCCTTTTTGGACTTTTAATAAATTTGAGTTATTTTTCTTTTGGTTTCTCACTTTTCTAACAACTTTTATCTAACCTACTAAATTTGACTTATTGAAATTGATTTTAATTGTTATATTAGTAAAATATTAACATTTGTGGTAACTGGGTTCATGGGAAGACAAATTGTTGCATGTTTCACATTTAGGTGGCATTTGGTTCATACATCGGAATCGGATTCGGATTCGGAATCGGATATCTTGGGTTTGGAATGAGGTCATTCATTCCGATATACCTGTTTGGTTCAAGTACCTGTAATGTGTATTATTACTGTAGTTGATATTTGGTTCGTTAGCTCTTTTGGATTGGAATATAATAAATATAATATAAACTACATCGTAAATGATAGTCATTGACTCTTTGTAAATGAGATATAAGAAATTTTCACTAATTAAATATATTAGTATAAATGTATTAGTAAATTTAGTATAATTAATTAATAATTTCTATTAGTAAACATGTATAATTATTAGTATAATTGATAATATCAATTATATTATGTAGATTAATATACATTATGTAATACATATAACTAATAATATCATTATTATAAGTTTGTAACTAATTAAATTAAATATTATATATAATTAAATATAATTATACAAATGTTATAAGATAAATACATAATTATAATTATATAATACATCTAAATATTATTTATACTAATATTTTATATAATTATAATGTATATTAGATATTAAATATCATCATTATATAATATTATATTCATAATAATACATATAATTATAATTATATAATTTATTGATATTATATACACATATATATTATAATTATATGCACATATAATATATATTTATAAATATACATATATAATATTAATATATTATTATATAATATTAATAAATTTATAATATATTATATAAATATAATTATATTTAATTAAATAATTATAAAATATATTTATATAATACATTATATAATTATACTAATATTATTATAAAATATATAATTATAACTATATAATATATATAAATATTAATTATACTAATATATTATATGATTATAAAGTATGTTATATATTAATTATAATTTTTAGTCTATATTATTATATTTATAATAATAAATATAAATATAATTATACAATATATTATTATTATTATTATATACACATATATATTATAAATATATGCACATATAATATACATTTATAAATATATATAAATAATATAAATATTTTATTATATAATATTAATAAATTATAATACATATTATATATTTAATCATATTTAATTAAATAATTATAATATATATTTATATTATATATTATATATGTGTATATAATAATTATAAATATTTTATATAATTATACTAATATTATAATAAAATATTATAATTATAATATATATTATATACATAATTATATATGTATGTATATAATTATATATTAATTTTTTAATGAGTGGCGGGACGGGCCCCATTTCTTAATGGGAATCAGACTTGGGTTTTGTCCAAAACCCTCCAAGTTACTAGGGAATTGAGGAATGCTAAATTTTAGATATGATTTCAAAATCTCGATTCCGATAGGAGTAATCCAAACAATGATTATGTAGTTTATTCCAATTCCCCATTCTGAAACCCTTTTACCAAACGCCACCTTAATTGAATACAAATATCTCTACTTTACATAAAACGTCCAAGGCTGAGGAACAGTGGATTCCAATTGATTCTCCCGATTATGGGTATTACATCAACAAAATACTATCTATTTATGGGCATTTTACTCTGAATCATTACATTTATGTAAAATACATAAATGTTTGTAACTAAAATTGAAAAAAGTGTTACACTAATATTTTTACGAAAAGAAAACTAGTAAATTTTGTATTTAAGAAATTTTAAATATGTGAAAGTAAAATAGTTTTTGCCCATAACATACCAGCTCTTTATGAGTTTTTTGCATTACATCAACAAAATACTAGTTATTTATGGACATTTTATTCTGAATCATTATATTTATGTAAAATACATAAATGTTTGTAACTAAAATTGAAAAAATGTTATACTTATATTTTTACAAAAGGGAAACCGATAGATTTTGTATTTAACAAATTTTAAATATGTGAAAGTAAAAAAGATTGCGCCCATAACATACCAGCTCTTTATGGGTTTTTTG